AACGTGAGCGCATTCAATTTATTGTGCAGCAGTTTAAATTAATATCGGTTTGACTAGTGCATATTACAGAACTTCACTTCGCTTGTAATAAGATATTACTATTGTTACCGTGTCTGTTTCTCCATGCTCCAATATTCTATACAAAGTCATAGAATATGGTTTTTCCTCTTCATTTTGATTATTCACAAATGCTGAGTTTAATGTAGGACATTCATTTTGATGTTGGTGCTACAGTATTCTCATCAGTCTTTGTGTAATTTGTTGTTCGAAGCTTATCATATACTTCTGTACTAAATGAGTTACTTATTTCACTTGTTTTTCGCATCAAATTCCGACTATTCGTAATGCGAATAAGTGTTATATTAATGTGGGCTGTGAGTTAGATATGTCACTGATTTTGTATCTTAAGCTGTTTCAAAATACTTTCCATGTAACTGATTTTTTAGTTTGATATTAGTAATTTTCTGTAGATGATCTTGCCATCAGTGTTTTGCTTTCCAAAATAAGTTCCATTTTTTATCTATCTCTTAATATTTTGGAACCAATACTTTAAGATGCTTAGCTTATGTTACGTTTTGAAGGGAACGAACGTCACTGTGGCACTGTACACTTTTTTTTATAAAATTTGAACCTCTAGTGGTTTTTCGATTTCTTAACCTTTAAAGAAAACCTATTTTTAAATGTTGTCAACTGTTTTGTTAAAATGTAGTGTGAAGGTGTTTTTTTAACTACAGTAAGCTAAGAAGACTCGCGTAGGAAGGCATAAATGAATCTCTTAGATTACTTTTCATTACTGTGATCTTGTTAAAACATGTTTCAAGCGTGTTTTATTTATGGTCTCTTCAAAACTAATTTTAAAATCGTCCTAGAAGCGTAAGTTCCACCTTTAGAACCATACTGTTTCATAAATGCTTTAAATTTTGATAGTTTTCGATGTTGCTTAGACGTACGCTACCTAAAATGAATAATTGTCTTTTGATAAATGACTATCTGGTCAAATATTATCGTTGTTGATTGAACTAAGCTTTTAAACTGCGAATTCACTACTTTGTTGTATCTTCTTATCGTTTCTACTTTTAAAGAAAATAGATCAAGCTTCCCAAAAGCCTATTTGAAACTTTTTAAGTCAAATGCACCAGAAAATCTCGTCAGTGTACATCTAAATCAGCAGTCAGTAATATGTGATCCAAAAGTAAGTTGATGGTCACACAACTACTCATTTCTCTCACTATTCATACTAGGGTGTCCTAAAAGATATAAGGCATATTGTGAAAAGGTAATATATGTCAAATGCTTTCTTATTGGTAAAATTAAGTGGCATGCAATACGACACACGTTTTTGAGCCTGAAGCGCTACAATTATCATTATGTTAAAGAATAAAATTCAACAGTTGGAAACTGAAAATAATCAGCAACACGGTCGAAACAAGCAAAGTGAAATATCTAAAATCGTATCAACTCTAGGACTAACAGAAATATAATGAATTACTGGATCTATGCTACAAAGAATATTCTCAACTCCCGTCATGAAGTCTCTAATGACAGACAGTTAATTCAACCACCCGGTGTTCACCTGCCTTTACGGTTTAGGTTATCTGAGTCCATGTCGTAGTTTTGCCTCCCATTCATGTGAAGGACCAACTAACTCAAAAATAAATCGAATATTCCCTTAAAACTCTGTTTTATTACTAAGCAGTTTAAACATATAAGGGTGTCGTAGTTAATAAAGACCGATATGTTTGGTGGTTAAAAGGTACATGTTTAAGCTTTTGAACCGTAATTCGGTATAACGTCACCTGAAATTCTTTGGTATGACACATATGCTGCCCAAAACATACGACAGTAAATTATTACATTTTAGTTTGATGTTAGATTGAACAAAAGAAGGAACAAAGTTAACAAAAAATGAAAACTGTTACTGGTAATCACAACACATGTCAAATAAAATCTATAACCGAGTGGTGTATTTGAATTTCCCCCTTATTTGACTAAGAGCTTGTCCTGTTGACCTCGATTTGACTGCTTATTATTGATCTTTAACCTGTCATTAACTGCTTTTTTATTTGGACTGTATCGCTTTCTGATCTTATTGCTGATCTTATATTTATCCATGAATCTTCTGATAGATTGAATTGATTTCGATCTATTTGTTGACTGCTGATTGACTTAAGTGACAAGCTTTTAACAATTCCCGAGTGTTTGTAGTATTCCTTCCACCAAAGTTTCCAACATTTCTCCAGTCGAATGTGCGTTTACAATTCTCCATATGCTTTGATATAAGCCTAGATCTTTCCTGGCTTTTGACCACTAAATGATGTTCATGCATGTAAAAATGAAGATGGCGTCCACTTTGTCGAATGTAGAGTTTGCAACAGCTTATTGTGGATGATGTTCGGTTTTCTTTCGTTATTTTATCCCTTGGTTTGAATAAGATTGACCAAAGAGATTTTGCCGATTTATGCGTTAGATCTGTTCTAAATGGCTTGAATAATCCCGTTATTTGTCTTCTAAATTTGGTAGAATCATTCATTCTTTGATTTTCATCTTTGGTTTCATTTCTGCTGGTTAGTTGGATTTATATTTTTTGGCGAAGCTGAGTAAATAGCTGTTCTTTCCCTCATTTTTCCTCACTGTAATATCCTGCGGTATATTCCTGCGTTCTGAATAAAGTTTGTAGGCAGTTGATTTGGTGAAGTTCGTGCCTATGGTATTGTTCAGAAAATAATTTAAGCTTCAAGATTAAGCTATCCAGCTAAGAGGGCGAAACTCCACAAAAATTGTCTATCTGAACAGCAAATCTTACTCATCATCTCAAGACAGATGCCTTTATTCTTAGATAAATTATATGGACAAAGTTGCCTGAATGTTTAGACCTCGGCGAACTTATTTGAAATTTTTATGACCTTTATTTTCAGTTAATTTATTTTCCTAATTAAAGTTCTAAACGTCCTATCATTAGATAGCTGTTCATTTCCTATCCCAACTTAGTTTCTCTTGCATCAATGTTTTTCTTCATTCATTACAGTACTTGTGCTATTACTTGTCCTCAACGACCACCAAATCGTCCACTCATCCAGAGGGTTCATATCAACTTTTAACCCTATTTTATCATTATTGTATTCTAAAACTCTCAGATGTAAGTTATTAATAGCTTGCCTCGATCTTCGAGTTTCATTTAGTATGGATTTTGGGTTATTGTGAAGAACACTGAGCGACAAGGTTATCTTTATAATTTTGTGGGTGTTGCTGCTTTAGATTGCTAAATCATTATGATATTTCACTTAACGTGAGCGCATTCAATTTATTGTGCAGCAGTTTAAATTAATATCGGTTTGACTAGTGCATATTACAGAACTTCACTTCGCTTGTAATAAGATATTACTATTACCGTGTCTGTTTCTCCATGCTCCAATATTCTATACAAAGTCATAGAATATAGTTTTTCTCTTCATTTTAATTTTTCTGATAAGTTTTGACCAAGGCATTACTGAATATTTACTATCCTAATTATAGCGTTGACATCATCATTAGTATCGTTTTGTTATGATATTACTTAATGTGATGTACAATTTGTGTTTGTCTAATGTATTCTGTGAATAAAATATTTTTACTATTAAAAGCATTCTTTTTGTTTTAAATTATTTTTTAATACTTGATTTGAGTTTTTAATCTATGTCCAGTCACATTGTTGATGTATTGTGCTACTGTGAAAAAATCTATGATTCTAACAATGTATCATTAAAGTTTTTCTGACTGCTTTGTGTAAAATATTCAATGTTTGTAATATAATAGAGTGGTTACATGCATGTAAAATGTACAGTTATTTGGCTGATCGTCTGGTTTGTCGGAATACATATACAAATCCTGTTAGTTAGTAAGCTACAACGTAAGACCAAGTACATATATGCATCGGTCCAAATTGTCACACCTCATTATCACAAGATGAACACAAAATTCATAGAGGTGGTCACTTCACTTGTAGTTATGTATAAAAGATTGTGAACAAGGATATAGTACAGGAAGAAAGAATCTGTTTGTAGGAATAAATGTTTAAAGCAATCTGAATTTCACGGTTTAAGGGTAGACAAAGATTGTATATACGAATCCCAACCAAAGTACGGTTAGTTAAAATATATCGAATGGCTTTAGGTACACTGGCTACAGCTATAGCTGAATGTACACTTAACGCAAAGAATTTAATGACTGTCGGTATTATCTGTCGCAAGGTTCCAATATTTTATTTGGGACATACCAAAAATCTCTTTAAACTTACAGGAACACTCATCTGAGGATTCCATGTTAAGGTTGAATTTGTGTTCCTCTATATTTCCATTTTTTGATTGACATTTGATTCATCACCATCCCTCCGCTTTATTATGTTATCGTCTGTTACTGATAAATTCAATTTAGTCGCCTTTACAATGTTGTGTCCACAAAAACAGAAATCTGGCAATGAAATTTTTGTATTCTCAACTGTCTATCCTGAGAAATTAGTCCAAGTTCCTAAATTTGATCATGAAATAAACTTTAAAATGATGAAAGTGAAGGCAGCTTGTAAGGTTACGAGTAACTTATCATCAGTTTTGGATGATTTTAAAATAACAAAGCAAAGCAGCTATTCGTTTATTTCACCTATTCAAAGATTTATGTATACAATTGCGTTTTACTTTGTCACTAAACGTTTTAAGTGAATAGTGCTCTAAAATAGGTTTCGCAAGTAACAGCGAGTGGATTTGAGCTTTTAAACAGTAGATTCTTGTGCATGTATGTGCGTAATATCATATTTTAATCTTCTTTTAAAGCGAATTCGAAGATAACTACGACATATTTTATCTAAGACAGTAGACACAATATTATTGAAACACCTGAGTAATTTTCTTGGTCTGACTAGAGAAATGGTTGTGCATGTCAATGAAATAATATCAGCGAGAAGTATTATTTGTTGGAATGTCTTTGTTTTTTAAACAAGTATGAATAATGATTTGCTATCTACCTTGCAGAACGTTCCAAGCATCTGTCCAGCCACACAATGGTGTTAAGTAAGTAAACCATTTTGACAGTTTTGACGTTCGTGCTTAGTTACCGCAGATCTCATTCGAAAACGTGCAGAACACAATGATGGGGAGATATACTCCCTTGAAGAAGTGGCTTTACATCAACAAAATCTTGAAAGGTAAAACGTTTGTTACATAATTAAAAAAAACAAGGATTGAGCTTATTGAGAACTTGTGTAAAAGCCTTAGAATATTATATCTACAAAATAATCTCATTCCAAAAATCGGTATTGCTAATTACTTGCTGATTTTTTGTTTCAGAAAATCTATCAAAGTTGAAAAAACTAGAATATTTGAATTTAGCTCTAAATAATATTGAAAAAGTGGAGAACTTAGAAGGTTGCGAATCCTTGAAAAAGCTAGATTTGACAGTAAATTTTATTGGGGACTTGTTTAGTATTGAATCTTTAGGTAATGTGCATTTTCTTGAAGAACTGTAAGTTAGCTGTAAAGAATTTGTTTAATTTTCTTCTTATATGTGTTGTAGTTATTTAACTGGAAATCCGTGCACAGAATATCCAGGGTATAGAGAATTTGTGATTGCTACGTTGCCGCAATTAAAAGTAAAGATAGATTTTCTTTTTTTACATGTAAAGTTGCTAGATGGAGTGGAAATAACTAAATCGGAACGCATTATCGCATTGCAAAACTTGGAACGTATTCGTCCAATCATAGAAGAAAAACAAAGAGAGCACGGATTGAAAAGAGTAAGTGGGTGGTGAATTTTCATGATTAATTGATTATGAATTTCCGTACTACTTATTTAATACGAAGTTATTTCACAGAATTCTGAAAAGGTCGAAGCAGTACGAAGAAAAGAAAGATTCGCCAAGGCAAATACAGATTCCAGTTAGTAAGTTCGTAACATTTTATTCTAATGGTTTTTACCTAGTTTACGATATACGGCATTTAATAGTTAGTTTAGGCATAAATTTAAGATTTTTTCTGAGTCCCAATAACACTATAGTATAGCTGGATTTTGCAGATCCGGATCTAGTAGGGTTTTAGTTTTCCACAGCTGTTATGCACACAGTACGTATGACTCACAAATTAATGTCATAATAATATTAAGAAAAGGTTTTATCTTACCCGTTCCATCAGATAAATATAGTAGACTGATAAGTGTGGTTGATTTGACGGTAGAAACGAATATTAAAAAATAAACCTAACCGACTTGGCTGAATATACTATTTTACCTATGTTTATCTGCTGTAAAACGATCTTACGATATTAGGTGTTAAATCTAATTTCATAGTACCAAAGATATAGAGATTGACAGTTTACTTATAAGTGTCCATAATTGTTTCGGGCAATGAAGTAAGCCTGAACATATCGGAGTGGAGGCAAATGCTCTGCATCTTTGTAGTCTGTTTTACTGTTTTTGTAACTTACTATCGTTATCAAAAGACACCTTGTTTACAATACATGAAAAATTTGTATAAAATAGGTGATATTATTTTTAGTAGCGTAAGGTAGAAACCATTTACATCACCTTTTTTTAGACGAATTCAAAGCAATATATTTTCCGCTTCAAATAATTATGGGAAACTGCATTCCTTATAAATGCCATTACGCCATTTGAAGATATCTTTTGAATAACTCTTATTTACCATGAAAATGTTTGAATTGTTTTATTGTATGATTTCTGTGTACTGTATTTTCAAAAACAAAATTTCATGGTGATAAAATTTCCTTGCTCTCTTTGTGCGGTGTCCCAAAATATTATTACGATCGTAGTGTTTTTGTTTCTTGAACTCTACTTATCATATTCAGGTTTTCTATTCAAAAAAAAGGAACATTCTTTTGCAGTAACTGTTTACGTTTTACGATACTCATGGGCTTCATTGCTTCGACTATGTTGTCAGGAGCTAAGAGCAGTTGTATCCCTCACACCAGTGTTATCTCCTGGGGTCTCCTTGATTTCTTATCTCCGTTTATGGCTTCATAAGTGTTTTGGTTGGTTTGAACAGACATCATTGTGTTTTCCATTGATCATTCGTCCAAACGTTCTCCACCTAATATTGCCCTGATAAATGCAAATATTGCAAGTAAAACAATTAGAACTGATAAAAGCAGCGATTTTAAACCTATCTACCGGAAATGCAATGACATGTACTGACAATATCTTCATCCTTTTTGGTTCAACACAATACTTTCGACTATAAACACAATCAGTCTGTTTTTCTAAACAAATGAAGACTTCTTGTGTATTATGTATTGAGCGAACAATTGGTTTCAATAACCTCATCATCAGGCTCTATAATTATGATAATTTAAAAATGCCAAAATAAGGCTTGTATTAATGAATTTCACAATGTTATGTGTTAAAAATGGTAAACGTTTACATCTGTTACGACATATATACTTCGAAATTGTGTTATTTGCAAATTAAAAAGGTTATTTTAAAAAAGTTAGGATGATTATTTATTTATTCATTCATTTATTTGAACACATGAATATTGGTACAAGACAGCGCCAATATATATGCGCCACACAAAACAATGAGAATTCGAAGAGAAATAGAAAAAAAAAGCTAAGGAGCGCAAAAAAGAGAACAATAACGAGAAGATTGGTGTAAGGTAGTATGGTAGAAATGAGGGAACGGAAAGGTACAATCAGAAGTAATCTTTCAGGTAAAGGAGACACAACCACTTTTTATGAAGAAAGTAAAAGAAGGTTACAGCATGATCGCCACTGGCTTCTATTCTGAGCCATATCTGATAACATCTCTAGCCACTGTGTTGTACCATCTCCCGGACCCCAACCAGGGAGTCGTGAAGGACTAACAGAAGCCAGTCCTTTGCAGCTTTCTTTCATACCACGACACCATGTTATGCACTGACCACCTCTCCACTTTTTCCAACCAGTCCCAGAGTCGGCAAATAACGCACGACGTGGAATTCTCTGGGACGACATTCGGAGAACATGTCCAAGCCACCGAAGTCGGTGTTTCAAGATGGTGACACCAATTGAATTATCATCTCTGTGCCCGAACACACGATGCCGAATCTCTGCATTACTGACATGGTGTTGCCACTGAATGTCAGCAATCCTTCGGAGACAGCGATGATCGAACACAGAGAGTCGTCTAACGTCCTCAACTCGGAGAGACCAGGTTTCACAAGCATAGAGCAAAACTGCTCTCACCGACGCGTTGTAGATCCGACCTTTTACAGCTAGACTAACATCATGAAGGCACCAAAGGTGGCCCAGATTGACATAAGCCGCTCTGGCTTTCACTATACGTGCATTGATCTCATCAGTCAGGCCACCACCAGCACTTATGCAGCTACCCAGATACACGAACTTCTCGACTACGTCTATCTGCTCACCATCCAGGGTGAGTACAGGATTGGAATCCTGCCAGTCTTGTAGAAGTACTTTGCACTTGGAAGGTGCAAAGCACATACCATACTTACGGACACTGGTTGCCAACTGATTAATTGCGGATTGCATGACTTGGGCATTATCGCACAGTAAGACAATATCATCCGCATACTCAAGGTCGAGAAGTCTTTCTCCAGGCAACAGATCCACACCGCCATTACTTACATCCGTCAGAGCTGTTTCCAGAATGTCATCGATGGCAAAGTTGAGGAGGAATGGTGAGACTGGGCAACCCTGTCTAACCCCACTGCTCGAATGGAACAATGGAGAGAGGTGGTTGTATGCCCTCACTCTGCCTGAGGTGTTTGTATATGGGGCCTTTAGGATGTTAACAAACTTCTCAGGCATACCATTCTTCAATAGACAATCCCAGAGAACAGTCCTGTCCAACGAATCGAAGGCAGCCCTGATATCAAGAAACACTACGATTGTTGGCCTTTGATAAGTATGGCAGTGTTCTAACATTTGATAGAGAAGTGCCCAAGAAAGGATCTCACCATGCTGATGGGAGATCTAAACACCAAAGTCGGAATAGACAACACCGGAAATGAAGATATCATGGGACGACATGGATTGGGAGAGAGAAACGAGAATGGGGAAAGATTTGCAAATCTGTGTGCATTCAACAAATTGGTCATAGACGGCAAAATATTTCCACACAAACGTATACACAAATCTACATGGACCTCACCAGCCCACACCACATAGAACCAGATAGATCATATTTCCGTGAATAAAAATTCCGAAGGACAATGTAAGATGTGAAAACCAGGAGAGGAACTGACAGATCACCACCTAGTTGTTGCCAATTTAAAACTGAAACTAAAGAAGAACTGGACAAACAGCACTACAAAGGTTCAATATAGCCTTCCTTCGAGATACTGACAAACTCAATGAATTCAAGGTAGCTCCTAACAACAGGTTCCAAACCTTACAGGATCTACTGAAGGAAGAAGAAACTACTATGGAGGAAAACTGGAAATGTATCAAAGAAGCATTAACTTCAACGTGTCAAGAGGTGATGGGCCGCAACAAGCATCATCATAAAGAATTGATCTCTATAGAAACACTGGACAAGATCAAAGAAAGAAAGAACAAGGAGACAGCAATCAACAACAGCCGAACACGAGCAGAGAAAGTCAAAGCACAAGCTGAGTACACGGAAGCAAACAAGCAAGTGAAGAAGAGCATCAGAGCCGACAAGCAGAAATACGTGGAAGAACTAGCAACGACGGTGGAAAAAGCTGCGAGAGAAGGAAATATGAAACAACGATGTGATACAACGAAGAAACTGACAGGGAAATATAGTAAATCAGAGAGACTAGTCAAGGACAAAGAAGGCAGAACAATCACTGAAATTCAAGAACAGAGGAACAGATGGGTAGAGTACTTCGAGGAACTCTTGAATAAGCCGGCTCCAATGAATCCACCGGGCATCGAAGCAGCACACACAGATCTTCCTGTAGATGTCAATCCACTGACGACGGAAGAAATCAGAATGACCATCAGACAAATCAAGAGCGGGAAGGCAGCAGGACCTGACAATATACCAGCTGAAGCACTGAAGTCAGACATCAAAGTACTTACAAACATGCTTCACCTATTATTCAAAAAGATTTGGGAGGAGGAACAAGTGCCGATGGACTGGAAAGAAGGACACCTCATCAAGATTCCAAATAAAGGAGATCTGAGCAAATGTGAAAACTACAGAGGCATTATACTACTGTCAGTACCAGGGAAAGTCTTTAACAGAGTGTTGCTGAACCGGATGAAGGATGCAGTAGACACCCAACTTCGAGATCAACAAGCTGGATTCCGTAAGGATCGATCGTGCACAGACCAAATTGCGACACTACGGATCATCGTTGAACAATCAATTGAGTGGAACTCGTCACTGTACATCAACTTCATTGATTATGAAAAGCCATTTGACGTTGTAGATAGGAGGACGTTATGGAAACTTCTTCTACACTACGGAGTTCCTGAGAAGATTGTCAATATTATCCGGAACTCATACGACGGACTACAGCGCAAGGTCGTGCATGGAGGACAGCTGACAGATGCATCCCAAGTAAGGACCGGAGTCAGACAAGGCTGTTTACTCTCTCTTCCTTTTTCTTCTGGTGGTCGACTGGATTATGGAAACCTCGACATCTGAGGGAAAAAACGGCATACAATGAACAGCTCAGAACCACTTAGACGATTTGGACTTCGCAGATAACCTAGCCCTCCTATCGCATACACACGAACAAATGCAGATAAAGACAACTAGTGTAGCAGCAGTCTCTGCATCAGTAACCCTCAACATACATGTTATGGATGCAGAGGAGTATACCAATAATTATCATGTTAAGTCCAATGATGTCCTTGGATTTTAAATGGACATTTCCTATTGGTCGATATTTGTTCACTGGTTAAATATTGTACAAAATGTTGTTTTCTATTTTATGGTACGATGTGGTATGC